CTGAGACCGATCATGAGGGTGATCCGAGAGTGAGCCCGAGGGTGACACTCATGATAGGGAGGATGATGATGGTGATGACCAGTGGAAGGTAGATCCCCGCAAAAGAGACCCAGAACAGAGCCTGGTCCTTCGACAGCACATGAAGGAACTGCTGTCCACGTGCAATTCCAAAGCCTCGCCCGGTGAATGCAGGGAAAACTGGTGCACTGCTTACATCACGAATGGGCGACCTCCCGGCTAGACTGACTGAGAGAGTCACCGGCAATGTTCAGGAGGATGGTGCAACCGAAGGAGTCAATAGGTCACCGGCACTGAAAAACATGCGGGGAAAGAAAGGGGTGATTGAGCCATTGGCGAGGACAACCCGGAGTAAGTCAACACAACAGCCATTGGGACACTAGCCCTCGAGTGACCAGAGCAAGGGGAAAGAAGTAGATGGACTTATACTACACTGCCTGCCTTTACCTGCTATTATGTACATGTCAATGTGATTCAATCATATCAATGGAGTCCTGAGTATGAGTATCGAGTCCCGACCATCAAATCCCAAACATCGAACATCAAGTCCCCAAGTATCAAGTCCCGAAAACCCGAAGCCCAAGATTCGAGGAATGAATCCCAACTACCGAGTCCCGAACATCAAGTCCCGAACATTGAATCCCGACTATCGAACACCGAGTCCTGACTATCGAGTATCGAGTATAGAGTCCCGAGGAATCGAACATCGAGTCCCGAACATCTAACAATCCCAAACATCGAACATCAAGTCCCAAGTATTGAGTCCCGAAACCCGAAGCCCGAGATTCGAGGAATGAATCCTGACTACTGAGTCCCGAACATCGAGTCCCGAACATCGAGTCCCAAATATCGAATCCCTACCATCAAACACCGAGTCCTGAACATTGACCATCAATCCCGACTATCGAACATTCGAGTCCCGACTATCGAACACCGAGTCCCGTAAGACGCCCGGTGACATGCATTGAAAGATCCGGTAGTGTACATGATGTGGGGATATCAATGAAAATTCAGAGGTTGTAATAAGGTAATTTACATAGTCATTTGTTCTTCAAAGTGTTGAATCATGGAATCTACTACCTTGAGCATTTCAATGCTCATCTGTTCAACTCTTTGCAACCTCTGCAGGTCTGCATCAGCTTTTCTCAGTTTGTCGGAAGTTTCCGCCCAAGCAGTTCGGAATGGTCGCTCAGCCTCCATTAGCTGTTGGATGGAAGGGTCAGGAAGACCTCCAGTACAGCATTTGTAATCACCGAGTCGATCTCGGATGGATTGGTCTTCCCGAAAGATTAGCAAAAAGATAAATGCTCTGCTTTCAGATACTCACATTCTGGGTGTTCGTATTTTCCGAAAGGATGAAGCTCCCGGACCATCAAACGTACATCTTTGACATCAAGCTCCGGCTCGTCTGCACGAAGTTCGGTAGATGATTTGGCGGCTTGGGAGATACGATAAGTATCAATAATCATCTGGAATGAATAGACCCACATGAAATAGACACCTCTGATGTAGCCGGTGCAAAAGTGGGAGGATCAGCAGAATCCGGCAACTCATCAACATCAATGACATCATCCTCAGGCTCGAGGTACAAGTCTGGATCAATGAGACAGGCGGCATCATCAGGCCCACCCAGATGTGATTGATCTTCAAGGGTGAAGTTAGCATGGATGGTGAACACTGATCATAAGGAATGTATAAACATACCAGGCATTGCAGCCAACGCATCCGGTGGTCCGGATGACATAGAATCATATTCTATGTCATCATCCGGCCCAAGGTATAAGTCATCTAAGTCATCTGAGGGACACCCGGTAAATTGATAAGGAATGATAAGAATACAACATACCTAGTAATACCCAGCCCATAGATGAGTCATCCACATCCATAGAATTATAGTCGGTCACCGGGGGGGTCATTAAATCTAACGGCTGGATGGGAACTCATGTGGTGTGGAGAATTGGTGGACTGGTTGACTGATGATTGAAAAAACTTCGAAGTTCAACACACAACTGGCGATTGCCTGAAAGTTGAACGACGACCAAACAAACACAAACAATCAATGATTTTATCGATCGTCCATCAAATGTCTTGTTTGATTTGAAACTTCATCCTTCTGATAACTGATCTCAATCTGATTTCAAGATCTTTAAATCTCTCAACTCACTCATCATGTCCACTCCAGTTGCCGACTCTTTGACTGATCTCAAGAATTCCACTGCCCAGATCATGGCCATCATCAGTGCCGCCCGGCAGATTCCCCCAGGTCCCAGCCACTCAGCTCTGGGAAAACAGGTTGGTACACTTGTGGTATGTATTTTTTTTGTGTTTTTTTTTGTCTCTAACATCCAGGTAGTCTAATGTAGCAAAGGAGTATGGGTCCGGGGATGGTCCTATTCCCAGACTCATCATTTCGTGCCTCAAAGAGCTACACCGCATCCGGAGCATGGTTCCCAAGGTCTGGCCTGACTAGCACACCATCAGGAATGACGATCCCTGCATTTTGAGGCACCCCTGGCACCCCAAGGTCCTCACCTGGGAGGCCATAGGTGACCGGACCTTTGATCTCCCAACTGCTGCCCCCCCATCCACAGGTCCGATTCCAGTCAACCTTCCCTCCCCAGCCATCCCTACCGGCAATGTTGCCGGCCCTTCCACCGACCCCACCACCGAGTTCCGGGACAAGGGGAAAGGTAAGGCCGTCTTCGCTGACCTGGAGCCTGAGGCAGAAGGCAGTAATAAGAGGAAGTCCCCCTTGATTTCGGGACCACCCTCCCAACCCCCGAAATCCACGATGAAGAGTCACAAGCATCTGAGGTTGGCTCGCGTGGTGAAGTCCAAGCCCATGGTGGAGTTGGAAGATGAGGAAGACACGATTGTCAAGGTATGTCGTCTTGTTCTTCTTTTACTTGTCTCACATTTTCTTGCAGCCGTTTTCGGGTGGAGCGCCGGAGGTCGTCGTTCCCCTGCTCTCCACAGTTATCGCAAGGATGCCCAATTCGCCTCAATCACCCAGGGTTCCGACGAAGAAACCCTTTGGCCCTGCCACGGTAAGTCACGCTTATGCGTCCGGGACTCGGGTGTATGCTTACCATTTACCAGGTGATTGCCGGAAGTCGCCCAGCAGTCGCCGAGCCCTCCCGGCCAACTCCCGAACCCCCGGTGCAGGCACCCCCAGTCATCCCTACAGTTGACATTCTCATTCCCGGACCGGTGAGTACTTTTATATATCTCAAGTGTATCCATACACTAATACAACTCACAGAAAAACCCATGCTACGCTTGCAACAAGCTACAATGGCCTTGCGCAACTCGGATGGACAAGAGGACCGGGGCTCCGTGTATGTCGTGCATCTACTGCATGACAAAGAAGATCAAGTGCACCCCCGCGTCTATGGGATCCCCGCCTCCTCACAGTGGTGCCTCCTCTACCACCCGGAAAACGAGGTCCAGGATGCCATCCAGGGCTCCCTCCAGGGCTCCCTCCAGGGCTCCCTCCAAGGCTCCCTCCAAGGCTCCCCCCGCGTCCCAAACCCCCGCCCCCTCCCAAGCTCCCCCTGCCTCCCAATCCAAGGCCCGAACTTGAAGTCAGTCTCGTGGCATGACCGGAACTCCCGGTGTCACTGCGGTGACAACCCCCAAGACCCAGATGCATGGTCGCAGCAAGACCATCACTGCCGTCAAGGCACCTGCACCTGAACCAGCTCGTAAGTCACCCGAGGTTTATTTTCATCATTGTCTGACCTTAAGTTTCCATTCTAGCTCTTCCGGCCTTGAGTTCGGCAGTCCCGGCTGCAGCACGTGGCCCGGCAGTCCCTGCTGCAGCACTTGATGTGCCCATGCCAGATCTCCATTCCATGGCCATTGCGATTCGTCAAGGCGCAGCTCAAATTGCTCTTCTGGAGGATCGTGTGGCAGAGCAGGATGGTAAGATTGATACCCTGCAACGCCTTCATGAAGGCCTTAGGCGCGAAATCATGGTCCAGCACCCCTCATTCCCACTGCCCGATCCTCCTGCCAATGCATCATCCCTGTTGCTTGATCAATCCAGCCCCCCCACCATCTCACCCACCGAATCTGCACCCCCACCTCTCATTGATCTCACAATGGAAGGCATTGCTCCCACAACCGCAACTGCAACAGTCCCGGATGCCTCTGCCATTGATGGCCTCCCGTTTGATTACAACCAAGTTGCTCATCCAGAGGATCCAGATGCGTCCGGCAAAATTGTGGACCCAGGTGATCCAAGCAACCTTGTCCCAGAATATAACTCCTCTGATGACATGGATGTTGAGGTTGAGGTGAAGGTTGAAGAGTCTTCTGAGGAGGTTGACATGGCTACATAATTGCATAGTGATAGATGTATATACAAGTTTTCAATGAATGTAACCTCTGCCAGTCCATTGATCGAGTGACTGAGTTCCCAGTACCGAGACCCGACACCCGAGATTCGGTACTCGGTACTCGGTGATTCGTGTGTATCATCGGTACTTGGGTGTCAGGTGTCGGGTGTCGGTACTCGACTCAAAACTCAAAACTCGAACACACAAATCACCGAGTACCGAGTACCGAATCTCGGGTGTTGGTACTCAGTACTCGGTACTCGGTACTCGGGTGTCGGGTGTTGGGTGTTGGGTGTTGGGTGTCGGTACTCGGTACTCGGTACTTGGGTGTCGGGTGTCGGGTGTCAGGTGTTGGGTGTCGGGTGTCGGTACTCAATTTGAAACTCGAAACTCAAATCTCAAATCAAGGAACTCGAATCAAGAAACTTGAAACTCGCATAAATCTGAGTACCGACACCCAACACCTGACACCCGAGTACCGAGTACCGAATCTCGGGTGTCGGTACTCAGGTGTCGGGTGTCAGTACTCGACTCAAAACTCGAAAGTCGCAACTTGAATCTTGAAACTTGAAACTTGCATAAATCTGAGGTTCGAATCCCGAGAATTGAATCACTGAGTGCCGAGTACCAAGTACCGAATCTCGGGTGTCGGTACTTGGTACTCGGTAGTCAGCACTTCGTTTCAGGTTTCAAATTTCAAATGTCCACACAAATCAACCGAATCTCGGGTGTCGGTACTCGGGTGTTGGGTGTTGGGTGTTGGTACTCGACTCGAAACTCGACACTCGAACACACAAATCACCGAGTACCGAGTACCAAATCTCGGGTGTCGGTACTCGGTACTCGGGTGTCGGGTGTCAGGTGTCGGGTGTCAGTACTTGACTCGAAACTCGAAACTCGAACACATGAATCACCGAGTACCGAGTACCGAGTACCGAATCTCGGGTGTCGGGTGTCGGGTGTCGGTACTCAATTCGAAACTCGAAACTCGTATAAATCTGAGTTTTCACGATATTATGTCCGTACATCGTCAGTAAGTATACAAACAACGACTGACAAAAAACTGCTATATGACATAGAGCTATCTTCCAAAAATATATATGGCTGTGCGTGAGGGTGGAAAGGGAAGAGAAAACACAGGTGATTTGGGGGGATTTGGAAGAGGGGAATTAAATGGCAGTAAGATTTGAGATGGAGAACACGGGTGAAGAGAGGAATACAAGGGTGAATGAGAGTAGTACAACAGAACAGATTCGGGGTAAACCCTTAGCTAAGAGTTGCAGATGAGACTCATGTCAGCCAGCAACAAGACTTGCATAGTAGAGTCGATTACAGATGAAGCAGGGGAGTTGAATGGGATGATGTATCGAGACTCTAAGAGTCGAAGCCATGTGAGTGCCTTAAGCGAGCATGACTCGGTACTTGACTCAAAACTTGAAACTCCTATATGATACGTATCTGGGCCCACCCATCTGTCTAATATTACTTGACGTTGGCCCACCCGTCTAGGTAAAATTCTCCACTTCGGCCCACCCGTCTATCTAATATTTCCCTACGTCAGCCCACCCGTCTATGTTATAAATATTTCACCTCACCCTCGGCCCACCCGTCTATCTAATATTAACCCACGTTGGCCCACCCATCTATATAATAAATATTTCACCTCACCCTCGGCCCACCCGTCTATCTAATATACCCCTATGTCAGCCCACCCGTCTATGTAATAAATAATTCACCTCACCCTCGGCCCACCTGTCTACCTAATAATACCCCACATCGGCCCACCCGTCTAAGTAAAATACCCCATGTCGGCCCACCTGTCTATCTAATATTTCCCTACGTCGGCCCACCCATCTATCTAATATACCCCTACATCGGCCCACCCGTCTATCTAATAAATAATTCGCCTCACCCTCGGCCCACCCGTCTACCTAATAATACCCCACGTCGGCCCACCCGTCTAAGTAAAATACCCCACGTCGGCCCACCCGTCTATCTAATATTTCCCTATGTCGGCCCACCCATCTATGTAATAAATATTCCACCGCTCCCTCGGCCCATCCGTCTATATAATAATATTTGCTATACATCTCTCCTCAGGTCTATAATATATGTCAATCCTACTCTACATATTACCCATATGGGCCCACCCATCTCCATAATAATATTTCTCCCAGCCCATCCGCCATCGTCGATGATATATATAACATCAGCATAGATGGGCCCACCTGTCAACATTGGGAATATACATAACATCGGCCCATAATCCGCTGGCCCGTATTACACGGGATATTATGTAGGTCGGGTGACCCGTATAGTACGGGATTTGTCACTGAAGGGGCTCGATTTGGTGGCGGAGGAACCTTGGGAGGGGTGGTGACAGAATCATAGAATAGATCCTAAAGAGGTGCAGCCTGATGAGCTGGCACAGGCTTAAGGGCCGGACTACTGTGGATATTAGGAGGTATGGTAACAGCAACATGCACAGAAAGTTGCAGAAGGTCCATGATTTCCTGATCAATGGGTGTTGGAAAAGAGAAGCTAATAGACGAGTCTCAGTGTTGGTGAAAGAACCACTATACATTCATAGTACCTAATAGACAAGTCTGGAAACAATTAATCGTAAGAGAGAGTGAGTGTGCAAACGGTCGAGATACATACCTCAGCATTGGTGAAAGAACCACTGGGGTATAAACAAACATAGACAGTAATATAATATAGTACAAGGAAAGAGTCCAAGATAGAAACAAATGAAAACAATACATTGGCGAGTTTACTTTCAACACACCCCCTCAATGAGACAATGGACAACAGATGCATCCTTCTAACAACACACGAGAGACAAGTTGGACCTGTGTTGGATGAAGATTGGATGAGGCAAGGGCTTAGTGAAAATGTCAGCCATGTTTTTGTGAGTTGATAACCATGCAGGTAGGAAGGTTCCCTCTTCAATGTGGCATCGGATGAAGTGATAGTGAAGGCCAATGTGTTTCATGTGTATGTGGTTGGCTGCCTCTTGTGATAGTGCAATGGCGCCGGCGTTATCAGTGAAGATGCGTAGAGGTAGGGTCACGGGAATCAAAAAACAAGTGAAGAGAGACTGTAGCCAGATACCATCTTGGATCGTGGCTGTCAAAGCCATATACTCTGCTTCTGTGGAGGACAGTGCGTGAGTGGTCTGCTTTTTCGCTGAGTGCAAGACGGGTCCGCCATTGAAAAACCAGACATAGCCCGAGATGGAGATTCAGTCCTCTAGGCAGGAAGCCCAGTCCAAGTCGCTAAAACCATGGAGAGCAGGATTGATCCCTGTGCCGCCATAGTGAGTCTTCATGTGAATGGTGCCCGAGAGGTAGTGTTGTGTTGTGTGAGTCGCATCATGGTAAAAGCGATGTCGGGATGAGTGTACATTGTGAGATACAGGAGCTCGCCCACTAGTTTTCGATACTCCATCTCAAGATTGTCAACATGCAGGTAGATGTCAGTGGCGTGTCCAAAAGGGAAGTTCAGGTCCATGGGTAAAGCAACAGGATTGCAGTTGGACATACTGTGCTCCTCGAGCAAATAGGTGATGTAGTCCTCCTGGTGCATCCAGAGTTCATGGGTTCCCTGATCGTGAATGAACTGTATCCCAATGTACTTGCTGACGGCTCCTAGATCTGTGATGCCGAAACACTCTGCAATTTGCCCCTTTGTTTGATTGAGGAATGCCTGATTGTTGCTCCTGGCCAGGCCGCTGTCAACATGCCACGCGATGATACAAATCACCCTCACCCCCTCACTGTTGACGTGATTGAAAATGAAGACAGCATAGTCAGCCTTGCACCGCAGGAAACCAAGATGCATGAGGACATTGCGTAGTAGCTCGTACCAGTCATAGGCGGCTTGTTTGAGGCCAAATAAGGAGGAGAGAAGGTGACAAACGAGCTGCTGCCCATTCGGGCCAAGATGTTCAAAACCCAGCAGTTGGCACATGTAGATGTCCTCCTGTAGCTTTCCCCAGAGAAAAGCACGCTTCGCATTGAAGCAGTCTAGCTCCCAGTCATGCACGGCTGCATGCACAGCAAGAATGCGTATGGAAAAGGATTTAGCTACCGGCGCAAAAGTCTTGCCGAAATCAATGCCAGGGATTTGAGAGAACCCTTGAGCTACCAGACGGGCCTTGAACACTGGTCCTCCTTGAATTTGAGAACCCAGCAGCACCCAATAGCGTGGCGGTCCGCAGGTAGGGGTACCAGCTCGTACACATTCATTTCCGACATAAGGTTCATTTCCTTCCACATTGCAGCTAGCCAGTCGTCACAGTCTGGGAGTCTGATCTCCTTGTCATAAGTGGCTGGTGGTACCTTTAGATTATAATTGGGAGCGAGAGGATTCCAGCGGATATCACTGTGAATCGAGAGACACACAAATTCAACAACAAAAGATTGGCAAGAACACAAGGAAATCCCACCTCCTCATCGTCCTCAATGATCGCATCTGGATCAGCAGGACCGAGAACAGGAGGTCCAGGTAGAACCATGGGATGGACAGGGATGTTGGTGGGAAGAACATTGTCAAGCGATGAGGGGGGAGGAGGGATACCTTGGATTTGGGCTGCACAAATCACCCATTGGTGGTCGAGTCATTGCCTATCAGTTGTGATCCGCGATTGGAACAGAGATCCCTTCTCAGTGCGAACTGGAATGCGACCCGAGCAGCGAATGATGTCGGTATGAGGCGGTGCGGGTGCAGGAGGCATGGTGGCGGGAGCGGGAGGACCAGATGCTGGGCTTATCGCAGGTTCTTCCTCCTCGTCATCATCGCTGTCAGGGAAAGGACAGTGAGTGAAGTTCTTGTCAAATATGACGTCACGGGCATTAAAGAAGGCCCCAGTAATAACATTGCGGCAATGCCAACCTTTGACACCTGGAGGGTATCCCATGAATACAGCCTCACGCGACCGTTGTCTGAGCTTCACCTGCAGTTCTGGCAGGATGCGAGCGAAGCAACGTGCATCAAAAACACGAAGATGAGCAAGGGTGGGCTGGACGTGATGTATCATTTCATAAGGTGTCTTCCCAGGAGGCAATGCACGAGATTCTGTTCGGTTGAAAAGGTACACTGCCATGAGCACTGCTTCACCCAACAAATTGCAAGAAAGACGAGCATAGTCAAGCATTGCATACATACGACCCTTGATTGTGCGCATGACATGTTCAGCCTTCCCATTCTGCTGATGAGCCTGTGGCACCGAGTGCTGATGTTCAATTCCTGCCTCCTCTAGAGCCGTGGTAAAGGTGTCGCTCATGAATTCCCCACCATTGTCGGAACGAAAAACTTTGACCTGTAGCCCGGACATGTTCTCCCATTGTGCGCGTGCAGTGTGCCATGCGTCAAGTGCT